TTTAGGTTTATAAGAATGTGGAAATATACAAGATTTATAACACCTAAAAATAGCTTGACCATCAAATTCAGTGAAATGTTTCTGTTGTATGATTGACTAAAAGAACAATAAGACTAAAGTCTCATTACTGTACAAAAAAATCACAAAATTATTTACATATTTGTTTAAAGGTTTGACTGATCCAGAATGAATTTAATGACCAGCAATTATGCATAAGGTATTTATTTTATTCAAACTCATTTATGATTGTAAATCTATTGTGTTGCATAAAATCTGCAGGATTTAATACCAAACATTGAATATTTTGAATCAAATCTACCAAAAAGATTCTGCCTCAATATATACTGTATATATATTTCATTTTTAGTATGTGCATCAATTCTTTGACAATAAATGCCTATATGATGAAAAAGGCATGAGTGCACTTGCAATAAAACTGTTATTTATAGGATCATAAGCTTTGTAGATTTTTGTACTCAAACACCAGAGGACACATGGACACAAAACCCATCCACTGAAAAACATGGTTCCCCCAAAGGTTTGTCTAACTTTTTGATATAAGCAAGTTAATACATTTATTTTCCCCTCAGTTACATAAAATAATAAATAAATAAATAAATAAATAAATAAAAAGCTAAAAAATTAAACATAAAAGATTTTGCAGCAAGCATGCTGCAAAAAATAGAATAAACAAGCAGTAGGACAGCAAAACAGGAGCTCTGGTTAGCAGTGTGATGTCATTGGGAAAAGTGTGTAGCATTGTTAAATCATATAAAGAAGACAAACATGTGACACAGCAGCTGTGGCATTTAAAAAAGAATGTGTCACTCTGTCGTTAAAATTAAAAATAAAAACTGGTAATGATGGAAAAAAAATGTTTGAAGTTGTAAACAAGTTGACTGAGTTTAGAATGAAGTGGCTCCTCCAAGAGACAAAGCATCGCTACAGGCACAGAACTTTATATTAAAGAGAAAAATAAGAAGTTCAGCTTTGTCTGCAGAGCCCAGCAAGAATTGCCCAGACACTACTTTTAGTGGCATTTGTCTCTTACGGGACAAAGATGCAACAGATCCTAAAGGTAATTTTTGACGGAACTTTGACATCACTGAAATCTGATGAAATCACAACCTTTGGTCATCACTCAAAAACCCCTTCAAAAAGTATTGATTTTTCTAAAATCTGTTCATTTTCTTGTACAATTTTGAAAAGGACACAGCACTAAGAAAATAAAAAGGTAGTTGATATAACATTCTGAATAAAAGTTACATCCAAAACTGGAAAAAAGATCTCCACTTGTCTAACTTTTTTTTACAGTCATGAACACCACCGCTCAGTAGGTCAGGCAAGATTTCAGGTGGTGCCCCCCTGTGCCAATTTACATATACCACATATCCAATTATATTTCATCTTTATTATTTTTTTTTTTCTTTAGAGCAGGTTGTCCAGTTAAAATAATACCAATATAATACATTTGAAACAGAATACCAGAAGGAACACCTGTTCATGTTAATGAGCAGCGGTGGACTGAAGCAGTTGTAGTGGGGGTCCAGGGGCATGTTCCCCCAAGAAATTGTGTAAAAGTTCTACTCAAAACTCGGCATTTTTTTAGCCATTTGAATAGCATTTTACTAAATTTTTCGGATCAATAAAACAGCATAATATCAGCATTTTATGTAAACCAGACTTTAACCTGAACTTTATCTGAGATCGTAACTAAAACTTCCAGTATTCTTATTTTGTTTTCTGTTTACACACTGAGCAGTTAGTTTTGACTGCATCATTTAATACTTTTTCTTGTGTATTCTCTACACCAATGGTTCCCAACTAGGGGTACCTGAGCATATCACAGGGGGTATGTGGAAATAGGACTGAGAGGGCCCTGTGATTTCCACAATGCGGAAATTGCAGTTGGAATCATGGAATTAACACAAGATGGAATCCAGTATAAAACATGGAATCTCACAGAATTTGCTTATTTGGGTGAGTTTCTGATGTATTTTGGACGCTGCTATTTTCTGCACCTGCCATTACCTAGCCTGGCCCTTGCCTTCCTATGCAGCTCCACTCAATTCTAGTTTCCCTTCACTGCTCGTCTGGGACTTCTCCCATTGAGATGGATTTCGCTGGCAGATTTTTAGCCGGGCCAATCAGAGAACAGAACGTCAATTTTCTGCGCAGTGTCTGCTTGTAGTTTATTTTACCTGGGCCAATCAGAGAATAGAAGGCGGGGTTTTGAACAACGTCGACTTTCTGCACAGTGTCTGCTAGTTAATTTAGCATACGGCAGTGGAAGAAGTGAATGAAGCCAGTCTGTGTTGATAAGGCTTCCAAATTAAATTAAATTTGTCTGACAAAGCAGCAGCTCTCATTTACAGTCGTCTCATTCGACTTGGTATATTTCTCCWCTCAGTAGGGTTGTTTACAGCGCACGATTTCCGGTTAGCTTCTTAGCTTAGCCTCCGTCACAGCGACAACACACACATGCTGTAGCAGAGGCCACGCCTCCTCCAAGAAAACGATTCTCTATGCAGAAAGTCCAGACCCTTGTATGAAGCAAAGTGAAGGACAGGGTCTGGTTTTAATCAGGCTAGCCATTACCTGGTTTATTTGTTTAATTCTCAAGGCAACATTTTTATCTTTGTTTAATTTGAGTTGGAAAAAAATGCCTGAGAATTAAACGTTTTAAGGGGTTAAATAATTTTCATTTAATAATCAGTTGGAGTATATTATAGTTTTGGATAATCATTATGTTTGACTGAAGGGGTACTAGTAGTATGACTCATGGGTAGGGTTCWGTGGGTACACAAGTCTAAAAAGGTTGGGAACCACTGCTCTACACCATAAAAACATGTCGTTACAAAGCAGGCTGAGAACCCACAGAACAAATTACCTTGACAATCTTGAGTATTCTACTGACTAAAAAATATCTAAAATCTTTTTTGTCCCTCATTTGTGGTCCTCTAGATGGATGGCGCCCTTAGCATTTGCCTATACTGGCTATGCCATGAGTTTCTTTCACAAGCAGTTTTAACTGTGTTGCTGTGCTTTTTATTTTATTTATTTTTTAACCATTTTTTGCACCTGTTTTATTTTGTTGGGGCTGGGGTCTGTCCTTAATTACATCTGGCAGGAGGCAGGGTACACCATGAACTTGCCTGTCCATATGGCTCCCACTCATTTTCACAGCCAGTTCACATTTTGTAATTAATCTCGTGTCTYTGGACTGTGGATGGAAACACAAAAAGAACATGAAAACAACACAAGAGGAAGTCAAAACACAGAGTAATTTATCAATCTATCAAAACACCAGTGAGCAAATTACTACCATAGATTACGGGTTTATTGAGTTGGGTCAAAAGTCCAGTAGTGATTTCATATTTTACGCTTTACAGTACTACATATGGGCTTACTGGAAGATGGTCTTTATGAATGATTAGACAACTTTTGTTATTGTTGCAGCATTCAAGGATTAACCAAGCTGATAAGTGATATTTAAAGCGCACTAAGATATTATTATTCATTTTAATTTTATGATCTGCTTTGTGATAACTTTTACCWGATAGTATTGATCCTTAAACTTATGAAGGATAGTCCTTTTTCAGTGCAGCAAATACTGCCACTCTGTGTTCCAAACCAGACGTTACTGCMTGTCACTGCTCCTCTCCTCTGTGGGAGGACACCCAGACTGTTGGAATGACTCATCACAGAGCCAGTTTAACCTCTATCACAATATCAGTCAATCCAAGCAAGGCGAAATCTTTCATCACAACATTTCCTCTTTTTTTTCCAGAATCACTGACGTGACGTGGTTTCAGTTTGAATTTCTTTATCACCGTGTAAGTTTGTTGCAAATTCAAGATTAACGTAGTTTTCATGTAGCTTTTGAAATCATTTCAGAAGGTGGTGGCCATTTAAAGGCAAATTTTCATGCTTTGTCTTGAAAACATTCCAAATTTGTATTTGCTGAAATTTGTCTTTAATGTTTTTTATTAGGAAAATATTTTTACAACACTTTGAATGAACATCCACGCCAAGCTTTTCAAATTTTGAGAAATGAAAAGAGTTTTGAATGCAAAAGGATTCTGCCCCATCAAAAAATGACTTCAAGCCAAAATAAGTTTTTTTAAGCAACAAGTTAAAAACTGTTCATCTCTGGATATCAAAGCCACGACCTGAGAAAGGATTGTTTCAGTCTGAGTTGGACTGAGTGTAAACGAGTGATCAAAGTTGAAATAAAACACTGAGACWAAACAGTTTCAAATGGGTCTTAATGTTTGGGTTTAACTCTGATCCTGCAGCTTCAGAAGATCTGTTGTGCACCTGCTGATTTCAGGTAATAAAAGTGCACATCTCTAAGATTTACAGGAGGGGAAAAGTCTAATCTGATGTGATGATGTGGAATAGTCTGCGCTCAGACTTTATATGGGGATTGATTACAGTCTGACCTGCCATAACGTCATATCAAGTGCATGTCTTAACTGTACACCTAATGTGTCGCAGTTTTTTATTGTATTTCACCAAAATAGTCAGTAAAATTTTAAGAAATTCTATGTTTGTTTAATTTTATTTTAGTTTCATGCTGCTCTCCAAAATGCGCATGTGAGAATTCCTGAAACGTCTCTCAAAAAGCTTTATTCATTTTTATTCCGGTGAGTATTTTCTTTTTTTTTTTTACATCATGCTACTAAAAAAGATGCCGTTCACGTTGGCTTTCTAAGAAGTTTCACAGGACAGGCTGCTGGCTGGCACCCCATGAGTCATGCCTGTGTTTGCCAAAGTCCCTTTTAGCGCATGTCTTTGAGAGCACCTCTGGTTTCAGCTGCTGTCCCTAAGCCAGAGGTTTAAAAGTTAAAAAGGCTGGGATATTTTTTTCCTTTTTCTTTTCTGATGGATGATAGTCGATATCATTTCCTGTGAATCCCAGATGACCAGAGCTTGTATCATTGAATTAATCCCTGACGTGCACAGAGGCAGGTAAAGAAAACAAAGACACGAAGGAAGGACCGCAGGTTGTCATGACATCACCGTGGGGCTGGCTATAAAGCGGTGAGGACTGATGCTGAGACTTAGAAGAGCAGCTGAGGAGTCTTGGAGTGAAGGACGCACTCAATCCCATGTGTAACAGCTGACTGGCTGAAGCTGCAGTCCATCTTTCTGAGGCGCGGAGGAATCCCTAGAAGAGTGCGAGACTTGACAATATGAACTTGTCCTACGTGGTTGCTTGTGGACTTTTGGTCACCCTGCTTTCAGAAAGGATGGGAGCAAAGCCTTTAACTCAAGCGCAGCAGAAGGTAAGTCCCTTGGATCCCGGGCGGAAACACTGCGCTTTGCTTCCCACACTTGGATGTTGGAAGTTGAGGCGTGAGTGAACAGCTGGGTTTGTGGTGCGCGCGCTCGGGACTGTTATTTTACGCGTCATGTTTCATCATTTCTGTTGAGTTTAGCCACTCAGGAAAGATGTATTTTCCACATTAGAACTCTTTCACTTTCCCACAAACTCCCCTTTTAACCTCATCCTTTTTCATGCATGGAAAGAAAAAGGCTCAACTTTGCACAGTCACCATATTTTATTCTCGAGCATTTTCCCCCTCAGTTTTAGCATTTGTGGAAGCTGTACAATGTGAAACATAAAACTTTTTAAATACATTGTAGAGTATAAATAATTTTACAAGATCATCAACTCTAACCTGCACACGGTTTTTATATTTAACACTGTAAATAACTGATCAATTGTGTGCGTAAACCCGTGCGCAAAATGCCTGATATTCTCTGAGCGCGCACCACTTGTTTAAAAAAAAAAGTATTGGGATGTTGTAGAGAGTATCGCCGGTTTCTTTGAAGTTTGACTGTAACCACTGCCGCATTATATGAGCCTGTTCACGTTTTTCTTCCAACCACTTCTGAACAAAAATACCCCCCGGGGTTCTTCGGATTAGTTGCCAAAACATTTCCCCTCTTGCCCGACGCTCATTTGAATGTTCATCTCTGCTCTGTATCAAGTTGAGGCTTACTTAAACTGTTAAAATAAGTAGCTCCTCTGTTCAAACAAGCAGAGTTATCTTTTTTTAAAATCACAACCTGATCTCTTTGAACATTATTTGCCCTTGGGGGTACAATGTTTATCTATTTTCCTTTTAATCCTTCAGTCGCTCAGAAGTTTGCTGGGTGAGGAGCTGGCGGAGTTTCTGGAGTCGGAGGAGAGGGAGAGGCGGGTGGACGCCGTGCGCTCTCGGATGCGGTTACTGCGGGATTTACGCATGGATACCCGGGCCAGGGGGATGTGGGCTCGTTTCCTCAACGACCAGTCCGCCACCAGGAGGCACAAGTCGGGAAGCAAGAAAGGGGGCTCCTCGTCGCGGAGTGGCTGCTTCGGACACAAGATGGACAGGATAGGAACCATCAGCGGGATGGGCTGCTAAAGGCTGGGGGCGACGCAGTGATGGTGAGTTCACAACACAGACCTGCTTCTCACTTACATCGAGGAAAGCACTAAGTTATGAATGATGTTTAATAAATGGGAAGAGTAGAGTTGAAGTATAAGAACGGAATTTGAGAAATGGGTGCAGTGAAAAAAGGAGAGGAGAGCGTTTTGGAAACGGTTTTATTATTATTATTATTATTATTATTATTATTATTATTATTATTATTATTATTATTATTATTATTATTATTATTATTATTATTATTATTATTATTCCTTTTTTAGGTAATAGATTAACAAAAAATAAAATTAAAATCAGATCAATTTTCACCAAATGCATTTGTTAGTTTGTTTTTTAATCCACAGAAAAGATGGATACCATACTTATGCTTAATGCTTATATGGAACATTGACATTTACTGATAGATTAGAAAAATGTGTAGTTATCAGTGTATGCAAGGTGTACCGTCTAGACTCTATTTTAACACTGCGTTGTAAGAAATCACAATCAGCTGTCTTCATTAGCTGTATGTGAAAACATTGGTCAAACTCTGTTATTTCCAATAAGGACAACCTCTTATAAGAAAACTCCCATAAACAGATGAAAAGTAAATTGTGGGGACTGGTGTGATCCCGTTTAGGAAGTCCACTCTTGTGTTTCTGCACATAATCATGAATGATCACTTCATCTGCAAAACAGTAGAATACATCATGCTTAGAAAGAAAACGCAAGGAGAAATGAATGAGGGAGGACGTGGGGATACACACACACACACACACACACACACACACACACACACACAAGCTTGTTTTTATATCCTTGTGGGGCCCGTCCACTGACTTCCATTCATTTTTTGGTAATTTTATATCCTAACCCTGACCACAAACCCTAAAGCTAACCTCACAGGTACCTACCTGACCCTAAAACTAACCAAAACTCAATTCACACCTTGGTCCTAAACCCAAACTCCCACACCCAAAATCAGCCTCCGAATTTGTGGGGCCCAGGAGCACCCGGTCCCCACAAGGCTGCATTTTCCTTAAAACTGGGCCCCACAATGTGGGAAAAACAAGGCCACACACACACACACACACACACACACACACACAAATTCATTTAGTCTCTTGAAAACAGTGCACCCTGCGGTGGTCAGGATCCTTCTGGAAGGGGCTGCGTTGGTGAATGAAGTAAAGCGGAAGCTAGGTGACACACAATTAGTCCTGAGGGTTGTGGCCTTTTTGTGGTTGTGGTGCTAGCTGCGTAAGCCTGATTTGTGACTAACGTGTGCGACCGTGTTGCGCATTGGTCAACACCCAGAAATATGTCTTGCATTTGTTGTGTTCACAGTTGAAGAAGTCAAAATCACACTGAAAATAAAACTGACAAGAAATTTAAGAAATTTCCAAAATGATGAAGTGATGATGAATCCATAAAATTCACAAAGTGAGTAACAAGTTTTTGACAAGCAGTCTAAATTTCCCTTCTTTTTTTTTCTTCCTTTTTTTTTTTAGATTGCTGGACGATGGGTTTGGACAACACAAGCTGAATGTATTGTCCCCTGAGGAAAAAGTGAAAACGAATTTTGGTACAAAGGTGACCACGACCAGCATTAACAAAAGACTGAGATGCTACAAAATCCTCATAAATATACATAGTAATTATGCAGGTGATACATATATACCACGCAGAACGGTCTACAGAAAGAAGCCGATGCATTCTACAACATCGTGGACTATGGAGTAAAAAAACAACAAAAAAAAAAAAAACGACAAACCGCAAAGCTGTACATTGATGCTGCTGCTGTACACTCAAGTACATCATCTTCCCCTGCATAAATGTATTTATGTTTAAAAAATATTTATATGTTTATAAAAAGAGATATTTATAAAAATGACTTTTATTTATGTAACATTTTGAAAATGGATGCAGACTGCAGATGGATTCTGTTATCTTTTTTTTATTTTTTTGTCTTACACAGATGTGTTTAAAAAATGATATAAAGAACCTCTATGTGCACTTACATGCCATGTCCTGGGGGTCTGTGTTTCATTGAAGTTGATCAATTTAAGTCACTGAACATTTTCTGGACATGTTGGGTGAATTTTGGGAGATGGGGCGGGGGGGGGGGGKGTTATTTGACATTAAAATGCCAAGCAAAACAAAAATGCGAGTGTTTGGCTTGCTTTTTTTATTTTTCCAAAAGTTTGATTCGTCCTGCAGTCAGCCTTTGGGAGACCCAGAAATTAATCAATCAGCAATTTGAAAAATACAGATTTAAACTCTTAAAGGTGCAGCACTTTTGGTGGAATGGGGAGATTTTAATGGCAGATTTCTGATTGTGATTGAAAACACTTAAAAAACAAAGTTTGTAAAAAGTAGCCTGAAGCATCAAATAAGATTTGTTTTTCATCACTCAGCTGCTAAACAAGAAGCCAAGAGTCAACTAATTATTCTCAAGGCCGACTGTCGTGATGCAACCTGTCAGCCACGCCAGTAGGCTTCTCGGCCTCTGACCAATCAGTGATCGATGTTGATCAGGAAATGACACGACTCTGACACATGCTTGTCAAGATTTTCACAACCAACATTTTGTGCTTATAGCCAATTTTCTGAAACATCCTCTGGAAATAATGGTTGAATACCAGTGAGGAATGTACAATTCAGATACGCACATATTATTTTCATTTCCTAAATCTAAACAGAGTCTCGGGAAGTGCAAATGGTGAATATTACTGTGTAACTTAATTTATAATGCACTTTAATGGCTAGATTGATGTACACTGATAAAAGTAATAAAAAACAAACAAAAAACAACAAAATGACCCATTAAAATCATAAAAGACAACAAAAAGCCTAATAAGAATTATAAAAATAAAGGCTTGTGGTCATCCTCACAAACAGATGATGTAACTGCAAGTAGATCTATCATTTTTCTCCAATAATTGTATTGTTATCATTATAAGGCAAAGCAAATAAAAGCTAAAAAATGTCTCTAATACCACTGTCAGATTCACTACCTCCGCCCCTACAGCTGTACTGTTGGAGGTTGGTTCACCCTTGGTGATCATGTGAGTTGTTTGGCATCATGGCAATTTTGTAGCATCACTGAAGACCCAATACAACAATAAAAAATATTGTATTTATTTAAAAAACACACAAAAAATTAGCACGAGGAAAATGTGCTAAAAGCACGGTCACAAATCCTCACTGCTGTCAGGTGAGAATGCTAATTAATACATTACCTTTTAAGTGCACTGTTTTCTTCGAGGCATCCTCATCATGTGACATTTAAATGGCACATTTGTGATGCTTGTGGATTTATAATGTGGAAGAGATTGAGCATTAATTTTACTAATTAGTAATGCTGAAATATTTAAAACTTGCATTCAGACCAAGGTCTTACTGCCTCCAGCTTCAGTTTTTTATGATGGTGGTAAAAATGGCAATACATCTCTCTATTTGTGTGGTACTTTGTTTAAAAGCAGAGTTTCAAAAGCAAGCAGGCTTTTAAAAAAAGACAGTAGAATAAAACAAATTATCCTGATTATGCAAGAAGTTTAACAAAACGAAGGAGCAACTAAAGAAAAGTTCATGAAAACAAACAGTTGTGTTAATGAGGAAAATGTGAGTCTGATATAAGCTGTTCAAGAGTCTTAGGTCAGTGGTGTCCAAAGTCCTCAAGGCCTGGTGTCCTGCATGTTTTAGGTGCTGCCCTGGTTTAACACAGCTGAACCTAAGGAGTGCTTAATTAGTAGGCCTCCTCAGTATGCCATCAAGGTCTGCAGAGGCTTATTAATCAAGCACTCATTATATTCAGCTGTGTTGAACCAGGGTAGTTCCTAAAACATGCAGGACACCGGCCCTTGAAGACTGACTTTGGACACAACTGTCTTCTTAGGTGATGGGAGACTGTGTTTGTGAATTTACACTCCCTACACTAGAGGGCGATATTATGTGTGTGTGTGTGTGTGTGTGTGTGTGTGTGTGTGTGTGTGTGTGTGTGTGTGTGTGGTTGAAAACTGAAGCCACTAAACTAACTTATGTTCATTATTTATTAAATTTATTAGTTTTTTTTCTTTTTGTAATTTGAAACAGTCAAAAGTGAGATATTATGTGTGTGTGTGTGTGTGTGT